ATGTACGTACCGCTCACGCACGCCTCACACATGTACGTGCCCACGGCACGCACGTGTAGACTTGTCCACAGGCACCGTACAACCAGGTTGCTGTGCGCCCAACGCTTCCCCAACACACGTGTACGTGGCCTATCGAGGCGCCCTGCACGCACGCACGACACACAGCGCAATCGTAACCACCGCCTTGCCCCACGCATGCTTAGCCTGTGCGCCACGCTATTGCGTCGCACGTGCTACCCCCGTGCAAGCGTACGTGTACGTGCAAATCAGCTTCCAGCCCAGATGTTCATCGTTTTTCTTTTCACCACTTCTACTGTACACTCTATTTCCCCCGCCCCCCCCCAATTCATTTACGTTTTCCCTTCAGATAACTAGAGCCATTGCTTTACAGCTGATACCGGAAACAGTGCACGCACGCCATCTATTTCCAGCGCTATTAGTATATGCGCGAACCTCATTTAAGAAAATGCACAGCCTATTGGCACAAAAAATCAGCAGCGCGCCTACACCGATTACGTCAAGCTGCCAGCTTGACAAGGCAAGGTGAGATGTCCGGCAGCATCTTACCTCACTGACATTCTTGTGAACCAACTGCCGCAGTGAGCGGTTTTGTTTATTTAATTATTATTGGATCAACATTATTCACAAGACAAATCACGAAATATTTACATTTATAATTCTTACAAGATAATTATAGTTGCTATCTTACTATGAATTTGCCGAATGTTGGTATGTATGCTATGTTAATAAAAAGGCTTCCGTCAGTTTGGAATCCAAATATCGCAAGTCACAGAGAGATCGCATGAAATACACGGACGGGTTCTAAAACTTATTACTTCGGTTGAAAAATCGTTAAAAACGCGCTTTAAAAAAAGAACAAAAAACAACAAAAAACGTAAACTTTAGCCTGAAATATAGGGGGCCTATATTCTTGCTATTCGCAACGTTGGCTGCCTGCATGCACAGGAGATTTTTGTAAACCAATAATCTAAGTAGAAATTACTAGGCCAGGAATAATGAAGTAAATTTGGTGTCTCCAGTCACGCCTCATTTGGCGATAGTTCGCATATAGATGGTCAATATATAAGTTCAATTTGATCAGAGCAAGTATCGGTCGGGCGGTCGTGTATCATGTATTTCAGATTTCCGTGCTATTCAAGCTGTATGCGGGTGTCTGAACGCAGAGCTGTCAGCGTTCAACCAGCCCAATTGACGATCTATCTATATTCTAACTTTGGAGTCCGTTATCAATCAACAGTACCATAGTCCATAGAATAAAACATTTGCGTGTGTGTGTGTGTGTGTGCCGGTCTTAGTCTGCGTGATGTGCGGTGCGTGCCGTTCGTATCAGTGTGGTATTTCACTGTGTGACTTGGCAAACAACCCCATGCTTAATCCTGTGTTACGTGTAAGCATGATTGTACATGTCATTTTAATTGACATCTCCACACCATAAAAAAAAATGTCCAGACAACTTAAACTCGTCCATAATAACACCTCTACATATAACACTATCTGGTTAACACATGACCCATCACATCACTAAAGCCCACGTCTTAGCGGCGTGTGTTCCAGCTCTCACTTCCTAATAATCCAACATATGTATTGTTTGATATCTATTGTCTAATCAAGTAAATTGACAAATATTTGTACCGTTGCCATGCAAGCTCTCTCTCTCTCTCTCTCTCTCTCTCTCTCTCTCTCTCTCTCTCTCTCTCTCTCTCTCTCTCTCTCTCTCTCTCTCTCTCTCTCTCTCTCTCTCTCTCTCTCTCTCTCTCTCTCTCTCTCTCTCTCTCTCGCCCCACGCTCCACAATCTAAATAATTGTGTCTAGTACCTAATTATTTATTTTGTAAAAAAATCAACCTATTTGTGAATTTTTGGCACTGTAGTCTTGGTGAAATTACTGAATAAGTATGAAAAATATTAAGCTTAATTGTAAAAATATGGTATATATGCTTTCAATTCTGAATTTTAACCTCCTTCTGGGTTGTAATTAAATCCGATAGGTGGATCGAAATTTGGGTTGCGTAAATACCTGTATATATAATCTAGAGCTCATAATAGAGAAGAGTATGACACCGTTTTAACAGCGTTTTGCATAGTTTTCAACTTGTAAATATTCTATGAATATGTGAAAAAATATATTCAAACTTTACCTTGTTTTCGTCTATGATTCTCCCTTAATCATATGACACCACCAATTTACCTGAAAATCGTATGTGTTCTTCAAAAAAGTTCTTTGAATACGACACGGTTTCACACAGTTTTCCCAAACGTTTGCATGTATTTGGCGCATGTTGATGTGCGGCGGCAGCACCAGGTTGTAACTACGGGACACTGGGTGCTGTTGGGGATATTAGGTAAGCACAGTAACAGCACTTGTTTCGCTTCCTTATCATCAGGAACACGATGGCAACACAGCTAAAAGCAGCTGCTAGCTCGCCGTGAGCACACATTTATTTCTAGCACGCTGGAAACGCTACACGCTAAATACAATTCGATGCCTAATATCCCCAACAGCCCCCAGCGTTCCGTCATAGACAATAGAACACTAATCTGATAATAAACTTGCGCCGAATACATGCGATCATTTGGGAAAACTGTGTGAAACCGTGTCGTATTCAAAAAACTTTTTTGAAGAACACATACGATTTTCAGGTAAATTGGTGGTGTCATATGAGTAAGGGAGAATCATAGAAGAAAACAAGGTAAAGTTTGAATATATTTAATATTTATTCACATATTGATAGAATATTTACAAGTTGAAAACTATGCAAAACGCTGTTAAAATGGTGTCATACGCTTCTCTATTATGAGCTCTTGATATAATGTAAACAATAGAGCATTGCTCTAAACAAAAATATTAATATCTGCAGTATTTCATACGGCTACATGATGTAAAAAAAAGTATCTGGTCCACCCTCCCTCTTAATCTGCCGTTGAGTATAGTGGGACTCTATATCTAGTGTATATCAGATCTTCACCATTGTGTAATGCGTGATTGTTAAACCACGGAAATCCCAATCTTGGGTCCAGGGGAGTTGGGAAGATCGAGATTCAAGCCTACTCTTGCACTGTTTTGTGATTTCTCTCTAGGCCATATTTGCAAGACAGAATTGAAGGCTTACCCGATGGACTTCAGGCATATAAGCCCCGGAGTGGCTTACGGAAGTATAAAAAGACCGCAAAGTCTTTCATCCCATATAGAAAAAAAACAAAGTAAGTATTTTTTCCAGAATATGAAAAACAAAACTCAATCATAAGTGTAAGTAGGAATGGCACCAGAGATTGCCTGAGATGTGCTAATCAGCTAATGTGTCTATACATCGATTAATATTCGATGTATAGTGTGATGGGGAGGAAACCCATCACCAGCGTGAAATTGGAGGTTACAGGTAAAAAGGGCAGTGGGGGAAAGGTCAGATATCAGACATTTTCTGAGGACATGGTCTAACGGACCGAGTGCAAAACTTTTTTGTTTCAGCGCTGACATACCATTTTTATCACTTTATTGAAAGGACCGTGAAATCTACTTTCTGCTGACATGCGAAGAGTAAGTGTCTGATAATCTTTTGATCCTCAAGAGGAGGGTTAAACATGGATTTGTTGACTGTTAACAAAGGACTGAACTGCTTTTGCTATTAGAGCCCCCTCCACCTGCCCCTCCTCCCACCCTCCCCCTCCTCAAATAAGAACCTGTTTCCAATTTGCAGCTAAAACCGGTTCTTATGTCAAGGGGGTCTAAATGGAAAATCATAGCCTAACAGGTTCTTAATCACTAGGTTCTTATACGCGGGTTTTTGCTGTATATCATATCTACATAAAAATCAGCTCTACAGTTGATTGCTTTCATAAGTTTGTGTGATAGTGCAGCGCTAAAGGTAAAGAGTGACTGCAAATTTTCTTCATAGCCGGTTTCTTGGCCAGGTACTGATTTTCCTGACGGTGGGGGATAAGCTTCCACGACTGCAGTGGGGAAAATCCCTGTAACTCCCTGTAACTCTTTACCATCCGTGGGTGCTGTTTCCCTTAGAGTTATGAATTGTAGAAAAAAGACTAGTCTGTGTTACGCACTGACAGTGTTTTTAGTAATTACCCCCTGAAGCGTTGAGCAATTACTAACTGAAATCTGATAGGGTCTAAATAAACATGTAGCCGTAATCTAACTTATGTAACAAATGTATTCCAATCTCCAGTACTGAATGCTGAGACTTCTAGCTGATAGACACAGCAAAATGGAAATAAGGTTGTGTCTATAGATTCCCTTTCGTGCAGTTTTAACATTTAAACAAGATTATAAATTCAAATTTACTTTTGGTATTGAATTTGATCTATTGATACGTACTCCTACAAGTTTATAAATATTCATGTCGTTGCATCAGAAATTTCTACCCCCAGCCATCAGTGCAATGATGGTGCATATATAGATCTTTAAACTCATCTATTCACAGCATCAAATTAAAATCGTTTGGTCGTGGCAAATGTTGTAATTTGTTTAATAATAAAAAATATTTATGGCACCATTGATAATTGGATGGGCACTAAGGCAAACGTTTCCTTCAAAGGCAGAGGGTCACCAACACAAATTTGTTTAAATAACACTTGTTATGCAGTGCTGGGAGGTATACGAGTTAGAGCCCTGTCCATATTAACTTGATTCGTTGCTGATGGTCATGGTTGTTTCAGGAATGTCGAGTGCGCGCGGATCGACAGTGCTGGCTGTTTCTCCGTCATCACGTACAGCTGGCTATCGGCGCTCATCTACCGCATGTGGAAGTCCAACGACGTTAAGCAGAGCGACCTCTACACCTGCTCAATCTACGACAACACCAACTCTAACACCGTCAGGTAACTCGAGTGTGTGCCTGCTTAGCTGTGGGCAGTGTATGGCAACACGTCCGGTAACGCACTGAATATAGAATTTACTATTTGTGCCTGATGCTGAGCAAAATTCTATGAATTAATGGACGAAAATTCAGCTCGTAAATGTAATCTCGCGCCATTGTAAATGCGGCAAAATACACGACAGCACTGATACGCTGCACTTACTATAGTACTATAGTGTAGTTTTGTGTAAGTCTACAAAATTTAAAATCAAAAATCAGACTGTAGTGTTAGTGAAGCCGTTGTGCTTCATGAGGTATAATAGTGCATGCTATATTGTGAGCTATTTTCTTCATGCAGGTTGGAGCACAGATGGAACGGGGAGGTGGCTCGTGTAGGTCCACAGAAAGCCTCGTTAGCTCGCGCTGTCTGGGCTTTCTGTCGAACACGAATACTTGTTGGCCAGGCCTTCTTCATACTCTGCTGTATTGTTGGATTTTTCGGGCCTGTAAGTACAAAGAAAGTTTTGGAAAATTGCAGATGCTTATCATACAGGCAAGCGAATTAGTGTGCGATGTATTATTCGTGCTATCTAATTTTGTTAGCGCTATTTATACTGATGATCGAGAATTAAACCAAAATGTTACTCTGATCTGTGGGAATAATATGAAATTAAAATCAATATTAGTCTATTATGCAATGATAATAATAAATTACCCTTGTAAAAATTGTGATAGTTTGTGATTTTAGAAATCTAGAGGTCTTGTAGTGAAGTACGTTGTCTTGGCGGATTGAAATATGTATAGCAGTGTTAAGTCTGTGGTTAATAGGTTATCTATTGTTATGAATAGTGAGGGTGTCTTGATTAGATACGTGTGTGTGTGTGTGTATTTTCAGGCTATATTTGTTAGAAAAATTCTGGAATATGCTGAAACGAAGGGCATGAACTCTACAGTTGGTAGAGGAATTACCCTTGTCGTTGGTCTCACAGCATGCGAAGTGGTTCGGTGAGTTGTGTGAACAGAAGCAAATCTAAAATAACCTTTTTATATTTAGGATTCATTTGAACTCTATAGAGAGAATTTAAAGTAAGTAATTTTGGCATCATGCAGGCTGGGATTTTATATATCATACAAACCACAACTGCCTTTTGCGATTCAGCATAATTCACTATTTGCATGCACGCAGGCACGCACACAGTCATAACTATCCAGGGTGCATTCACGGAGAGTGCATACCTCCACCAGCGACATGCGCAATACGACTCACGAACACACGAATAACGCACGATATACGCCAGCATACTGACATGTACACGCTGGCTTGCTGCTCGCTTGCTCGTAGCAGCCGCTCGTTGCTGCTGCTCGCTCACATGTACACGCTTGCTGGCTCGCTGCGCTTGCTGGCTGGCTGGCTCGCTGACTCGACGCGCTAATATCGATCGCGCGAACACACGAACGCACGAACGCACAAGAGCAATCACATAACCTCCTCCAACTCCGTTGGGCGGAGGTAATCAGCAGTAAAGGAAGACATGATTCACAGTACATGCATCTGGACACATAAAAATCATACACACAAATGCGTACACTCGGTCATGTACATTGTATTCAATTCTAGTATCATGCTTTCCCGATGTGATGTAGACTTCACGTAGTGGAATCCATTTGAGATGGATGGGTTGGAATTGTGGGGGGGGGCACAGCATGGCGCGATGTGACTTTGTAAGCCAACCTCATGCATTTAAGATGGATGGGTTGGAATCTGGGGCGCAGCATGGCGCAATGTCACTTCGTGAGTTGACCTCGTGCATTTAAGATGGATGGGTTGGAATCTGTGGCGCAACATGGCGCGATGTCACTTCGTGAGTTGACCTCGTGCATTTTGTGAACCTCTGCAGGAGTCTGATGTTTGCGGCGACGTGGGCGGTAAACCTGCGTACTGGAGCGCGCATCCGGGCAGGCATACTCGGCCTTGTCTTCGAGAAAATCCTGAGGTTGCGCACACTGGGGGACAAGTCAGCGGGCGAGGTGAGTCATGTGACTCATTGCGCGTCCTCGTGTCGTGAGGTGCAGCGGCATTGCAGCGCGTTATGCTGCACAGCCGTCGCGCCGTGAGGTGCAGCAGCATTGCAGCGTGTTATGCTGCACAACGGCGCATCGTTGAAAGGTGCAGCGGCATCGCAGCTTGTTATGCTGCACAACCGTCGTGTGTTAATATGGTGTTAATACTGCATGTTAGCATTGTGCTAATATTGTGCGCCAATATTGTGTTAAATTGCTCAAGTGGTATGTTAATATTCAGGGTGAATAATGACAAATTATTAGAGTCAATTAATTTGTCATAATTTGTCATAATTTGTCAATATTCACCCCTGTTAATATCAAATAAATTTTGGCATTTATTGCTTCCAGGGATTTTCCAGGAGATATTTTTATTTTTTTTACCAACTATTTATTCGAGTTCATTCGAATAATTCCTACCCAAATTTGTCATTGAGATCTTAATATATTTTTTGATAGTTTGTCAACCTCTTCGCTAATGATGGAATACGGATATTCGAGGGTGTTACCCTTGGCCCTCTAGTCGTCGGTGGACCCCTGGTTGTGATGATGGGACTTGCATATGTTGTGTGGTTACTCGGAGGCTGGGGAGCCATTGGAATGCTTGTGTTTGTGTTTTTCTACTTTATTCAGGTATGTAAAATCCACACTTGTCAGAAAATGTAACTGATACGAACAACATCATGTTGTCTATAGAGAAATGTTGAATGTACATTTATAGATAGTAATATAAATGTGTTAATGTTTATTTTCTACTGTGTAGGTTATCGTTCTAAATAAGTTGACAGTTGTTGTTGTTTGTACTTTATTTAAAATTAAATTTGTGTTTTATTTCCATTTGCAGATGATAATCGCAAAAATTGCAGTGTATCTACGGCGAAAGAGTATTGTAGCGACCGACAAGCGGGTGTGCAAGCGTTTCCTTACAACTATTTTTACATGTTTATACTGTATAAGCTCATGTTTAATCTTAGATACATGTATATATATATATATAAACTATGTGAGTAATGGTTGAATATATTCAAATATTTCACAAAAGGTCAGGGACAGTTTCAGTTTAGATGTGCTTACATTATAGTGTATATGTACTTACAGTAGGTACTATAGTTTATATAAAATATTATATAGAACTTTCTTAATGAGAAAATGTGCTTTTGACATGCAGTCATTTCATCTTTCTCGTTATTGTTTCTCTAATTACTTACGCGTGCAATATCAATTTCAGGTTCGTTTAATGACGGAGGTTTTAACATATGTGAAATTGATCAAGATGTATGCCTGGGAAAGGTCTTTTGCTAAGGCTGTCTCAGGTAAGTGGTGTTGCAGCTAGGATAGCTTAATGTTAGAACAGTCATAAATAATGTTTATATGGAAGTACAGATGAATCTTGATTAACTGACCTTGACAGAATCTGTAGGTAGTTAGGCAACCAAGAATAAATTACAGATAGTGCAGAAACGGAGATAGTATGTAACAAATTGCAAATTGAATGGAATTGGAGTGTAATTCTGAAATTGTAGATCAAGTAAAGGTGGTATGTGACGCACTGAGCGACAAAGCAGAGATTGGGGAAAATTTTATGCATGCACAAGCTGTACAATACTGTACAATACTCATGTAGCACGTGAACTGACTATGTCAGAAAATGGAATGTTGGATAATGGAAGGTTGGGTGACTGGGGTGCTGTAGTAGCTTGTGGCACCACGTCCTATCTAATTATAGTTCTATGCTCCACATCAAATCGGGGAACATCTTCTATTCGTTAGGAAACATCTTCTAGCTCTTGCCATACATGTCACCAATATATTTTGGGCAGAGTTGTTGTTGAACGGTGTTAGAGTAACGTGGCGATCTTCCTTGCTGTCTCTCTCTAGTTCATAGCATGCATCTGGAGCAAAGTGAGAACTGTACATCGTACTACATGTACTATTCTCATTTGATCATTGGTACTCCACTAGTGGTACTCAAGTAGTGCTTTTGAAGTCGAGCTAGCACAGGTTCCTGCATTTATTATGATGAGTGTCTCTCTACCAGGGCTGCGAGTTACTGAGCGAAACTGGTTGCAGCGAGCAGCATATCTGCAGAGCATGGCTGTTGGACTCACACCAATTGTGCCTATGGCTGCCGCAGTGGTTACCTTTATTTCCCACACACTCAGTGGTAACGATCTTACAGTCTCTCAGGTTAGTATTTCGTCATGGTTAAGGTTGAATATAAAATGTGTTTTCACGAGTATATTCCTTGAATAAATAAAGGGGTTCATTAACAATTTTAAGTCATATATATAACTACTTTAAATTGATACTGCTGAAGTGTATGTCTTGTAGGTATAACAAACGGGCTGGAAGATAGTAAGAATTAAATTACATCACTATCCATATAAATCGACCACAGAAGTAGCGGCAAAAACTATATATAATAAATATTTAACGGATAAACTCTTCATTTTCGAAGTAATCAGCTAGCACTTAAAAAGAAGAATTGAATTTTATGTGTATCTGTTAAATTAAATTTGTATATATTCATCTATTGCATTGTACCGTCTGTTATCAAAGTTTGTGTGAGGTATCTTTTTCTTCAGTGAAGTGAGACGAGGAAGGGTGTTTGATGTTCTTATTTTTTCTCATCTTAATCCCTAATAAATTAGGTGATGCTGTCTACCTATTCACCCCATGTGCTCTGTTTCTAAAATTGTAATGAGCTCATAATATATGCTTCCACTGTTTGCAGGATAACCATCATTGGAGCATGGTTTCTGTAATATTTTCGCACGGCTGTAGGGCTCATCTGTGTCGGGGTTTGGGTCACATGAGTCGGTGTTATGATGATGGCATTCCTAAAGCTTCTCTGTTTCAGGCTTTTACAGTTGTAGCCGTATATAATACAATGCGCTTCTCCATCTCCATCCTCATCTATTCGGCTCGCTGCAGTGCCGAAATGATTGTATCTTTCAGACGCATCAAGGTTAGATGTGGCATGCAGCACACCCCTAGTCTTACTATCCAACTCGTGTAGCAATTTTCACTCTGCATGAGGTAGTCCTACACATAGGAGGTTGTCTTATGCATGCTTAATACACTTTCGTCATTACAGGACCCTTATTCTATCGTCCCACGTACTCTAGTAACATAGTGTTAGACTGTACATGTGCTAGTTACGCAAATTTTACCGTGTCTTGAGCCTGTGATCACGATGGTAAGGCGGCGGCCCCGATACTATGGTACCTACCTTGTGGAGCCACGGACAACTTCCTAGCAGCTGAGAACGCCATTGGCACCGGTGAAATTGCAATATTTCAACCCACGTTTTGCGCATTCGTTGTGTGTATGTTTCAGGCATTCACTGTGCTGTGTGTGCTACACGCAACAAGACTGGCTATTGCTGTTATCCCATACTCGTTCCGTGCACTGTCCGAGATGACAGTTGCCTTCAAACGTGGCCAGGTTTGCAAACAACAAGCAACACCACTCCCTCTCTTACTGGCGCTCTCGCTCTCGCTTTCTCACTCTGGAGAATGTTGTTATAACCACAGTGGTGGTGGAAACAATCTGCCTGTGAATCTCTCCCAGTCTCATTCGCTGTAACACCTGCCACTCTAACTATTAGGAGTCTATCAATACTGATAGACTCCTGTAACTATGCATATAACACACGCGTGTATAAATACATGCGGTAACTCTGAAGTATCGATTATGTTTGATGTCTGGTCAAATCGAAATCTTCTGCTCGACATTACTCAATTGTTGCTGCAGCATTGTCTTCAGGCTGGTTGGTTTCCTTCCCGTGTTGGATTCCTTATTGGTGAACATGTACGTATTAGGATTTCTTACACATCTCTTGTGAGAATGTGGGAAAGCAGAGCATTTTTACTGCTGCTGTTACCATCTCATCACCACCACTAAGGATATGAGCGGAAGAATTTTCCGCCTGAATTCACCACCTCGTGGCCAAAATATTTTGTTGTATCTGTGAAATACTTTAATATACATACAATAATGATAGAAAATTAAAAGGAAAATAATTAAATACTGGAATTTATGTTTACTATACATTTAACTGTAGTAAATTTAAAAAAGTGGTAGCGGCCTACAAAAGTTCAAAATGTTGACAGTTTTGATAGTAAAAAGATCAGTGTGGAAGTACTCGACATATCGTAGGAAAAGTGTGTAAATACTGACCACAGACTTATGGTCTGCGCATATTAACATGCTTGCTTCTGCCTGTTGCGGTCGTGTCTAGAAACTATCCTGCTCATGGAGGAGGTCACACACCAAGGTCGTGAAGCCATCCAACACCTGAGGGGTCTGGCCTTGAACATAACGACATGCAAGCATTTTCTGGATGCCCGCCGAGGCTCTGGTTGGCGCCAGCTCTGTGCCAACCTGTGAAGCCAATGGGAAAGCTAGCGCGGAAAAGGGTCCGCAAAAATAAAGAGAAATAATGGAAAAGAGTATCTTGTATTGATTCGTTCTGGCTAGCCAGGGATATAATCAAACTATAAGCGTTTGATTACAATGTAAGTTAATTCTTGTACAATAGTTTACTTGTGTGAGTTAGTTTAAGTATTATACTGAGACATCTAATTATACTGGAGAATCTAATTAAATAATCGTGTGCTACTCGAAGTCTTAGGAATGCTTTAGATATTGAACTTGTCATGAATATAAGCAGCCTATTTTATCTGTAATTGGGGCAATTAGCGAAATCACAGAAGGAGGGCACCAGTGATGTTGTAGATGAGGAGGCAGGGAAGAGTGCAGCAGGCGCGACGCATGGAAGTGAAACAAGTGGAAGCACTACAAAGCATTGACAGCTGGGCAAGTGAAAAGAGTAGGCACAGCTGTAATTGACCTCGACGCTAACCGTGACTGATAGGACTGTTACTTCTTCATGATTGCAGACAGCAAGTTCGCTCATGCTTATTTATATTCATAATCCGGAGAGAGAGTTGGCTGTCATCAAGCTGTATTGGGTGCGCCTAGTAAAGCATTTGATAACAAGGTTTCGTATTCCTTAAATGAGACACGAATGAAGGATGCCTTGAGGAATTGTGTTTTGGTATTAATGTGATGGTTGTACCTGTATTTTCAGGGAGACTAATGCGCATCTGTGGCGTCGGTTGGGAAGTGGCAAGGCTCACTTGCTAAGTGCTGTGGGCTGGGCGCAGGTGAGTGTCTATACTGGAGTTGGCCAATCACTTCTTTGGTAAGCAATTTAATATGAGTTGGGGCAAATTTTACCATTTGATCTCGTCTGTTGCTTAAACATGCTATCTGCTGGCAATGCTGTTTGGCACTGGTGGCATGGTCATCAGTATAATGATCTTTATGCCCTTCACGTCAGATTAATGTGTCATTTTGGCATAACTGCACTTCGGTTAAGCGGGTTGATTGATTACTTATCTTATTACGACTTTAATTATTATTAGCCTCCGCCAAGGGGTCGGCAGGAGGTTATGTTGTTCAATGCGCGGTGTGTTTGTGGTTTTGTGCGTTTGTTTTCTTTGGTGTACCCCTAACTCAAAAAGTTATGGGGACCGGAATTGATCATGTAAATTTTCAGGATAGTCAGGATAGGCTCACCTAGAATTGATGAGATTCTTGGTGGTGATACCGGGATCCCAATTAATTGAATTGAAATTTTTTTTAGGGATAGGTCGATAATGGGGTAACTTAGAATTGATTCCATTATGTGGTGATTCCGATCCAATTAATTAATTTAATTAATCAATTAATTAATAAATGTTTTCAAGCAGTGACAGAATTCAGCTGGCTTGGCGAGGTCTGCGCTCTCCGAGTGCTCTAGTTAGTATTATTATCGTCATCATGGCATTATCATCGGCCACTATCATGATCATCATTATTGGGGCATGTCTGGGTTGCAGCATGCGTAATGAATGATGGTAGCTTTAGTGAATTGATGGAAGGTTTGCCTATGTTGCCGTCAGCAGGTGATCATCATGCCTCTGTCGCGGAGAACATCAGCGTTTTGGTGCTGATTTTGACAGTAAAAGGGTACCATATGTTTTTGCTAGAGATACAAGGCCAATTTGATGAGTTCTAGGTTGGCTTAAGATACGGACGAAAGGTCATGTTGATTGTAAATGACTATATAGATATAAAATTTCTAAACAGCATAATATTTTTATTATAAAATAATAATTTGTATTATTATAATAATAGATTTGATATTAATTAGTATTATAATTATTTGGCAACAGCAAGTTTACTAGGCAAATACTTTCGAATCGAATGCCATTAATTAATCTATTTATTTGAATACACGATATTATGAGCCATCTATGCATGCGTGTGCTGAATCCGATATTGCAATGCTGGCCTAATGAGGATGAGACCGAGGTATGAAATATACAGTAGTGAGAAAAATGTAACTACTGCCTGTCTTTCTCAATACGTTCGTGTTTTATTCGCTTAATGTCCTTCCTGTGTATTTCTTTATTCTTGTCGCAGTGCATGTATCTATGTGTATGTGGTGAAGGGTAGGGCAGATAAATAACTCAGTACGTCTGAAGTATGTGCCACAGTCACTCACACGCACTAAGCATTTTCTAACTACGACAAGGTGAGTGCTAAACGTAAAACATAATGGCGTTATCGTAACGCGTAATCGGTAATCGGGAGGGCACATTCGGTACCGGGCCCCGGCGAAGCACTCGCCACGTTCTGTTGCGAGTGATCGTGAACTCTGTGGGTGACCTACACAGGTCGGCGAGCGCGGGCGTTGAACCTGAGGCGAGGAACAGAGGCAGCGCATCAGTCTCGGCGCGCGGCGTTTTACACGAACAGCGACAATGTCTACGCGCTGCTCGACGACCCGCTGAGCCTCCGTGGACACTCGCGTCGGCCATCACCACAACATACTTCAAGCAGCGCTCATCACGCGCTCCGCTGAAGGCAAGACGATTCTCTTTGGGTCCACGCCAAGCCACTGCAAGGGTGAGTTCCGCAGAGATTACAGTGAGTTGCAGAGATTACAGGTGAGTTCAGCAGAGATTACAGTGAGTTCAGCAGAGATTTAAAGGTGAGCTTCAGCAGAGATTACAGTGAGTTCAGCAGAGATTAAGGTGAGTCAGGCAGAGATTAACAGTGAGTTCGCAGAGGATTAGCAGGTGAGTGTAGAGGAGTTAACAGGTGAGCTTCAGGCAGAGAATTACTAGTGAGTTTCAGCAGAGGATTAGCACGGCTGAGTTCAGCAAAGAGATACAGGTGAGTTCAGGCAGAGATTTACAGGTGAGTTCAGCAGAGATTACAGTGAGTTCAGCAGAGAAATTACAGGTGAGTTCAGGGGCAGAGATTATCAGCGTGAGTTTCAGGGCATGAGCTAAGCAGGTGAGTTCAGGCAGAGTATTACAGGGTTGAGTTTCAGCGAAGAGATTAGCAGATAAAGTTCAGGGCAGAGATTACAGGTGAGTTCAGGGGCAGAGATTAAGGTAAGGTTCAGGCAGAGATTACAGGTGAGTTCAGCAAGATGACAGGTGACTGGCAGAAGATTACACGTGTAGTTCAGCAGAATATTACAGTGAGTGGCAGAGATTACAGGTGAGTTCAGCAGATTATGTACAGGGCGAGTTCAGCAGATATTACAGGCGAGTTCAACAGAGATTAACAGGTTTTAGTTCAGCAGATATTAGCAGTGCCGGAGTTCAGCAGAGATTACAGTAAGTTCAAAGCTAAGATATTAGCAGTGAGTTTCAGGCAGAGATTACGTGAGTTCAGGCAGAGTATTACAGGTGAGTTCAGCAGAGATTACAGGTGAGTGTAGAGATTACAGGTAAGTTCAGCAGAGATTACAGATGAGTGGGGCAGAGGACTGCGAGTGCCTGCTGGCTGGGGTAGCAGTGCTGTGATATCGGCAACTATAGGTGGACATGGATGGATGGTTTTTGACGGTTGAAAGTGACACCATGGTGACGTATTGTTAAGCGTGACATGATGAATGACAGT